GCCGGCCGTGCCGCGGTTCCGGGCCGTGCGGATCCCGCGGGAGCAGCGGCCGCAGGCGCGGGAGGGCCGCACCGGGACCATCCAGCGGAGAGAGTGGGCGGCCAGCCCCGGACACGGCCCCGGACACGGACACGGCACCGGACACGGACACGGCACCGGACACGGACACCAGGACAGCGACGGGGACCGGCCCCGCAGCCCGGCCTGAGGGATGGACACGGGGCATGGACAGATGGACACGGGACAGACGGATGGACACGGGACGGATGGATGGAAGGATGGACACGGCACAGACAGATGGACACAGGACGGACAGATGGACACGGGACGGACAGATGGACACAGGACGGACAGATGGACACGGGGGATGGACAGATGGAGACGGGACGGAAGGATGGACACGGGACGGACAGATGGACACGGGACGGACAGATGGACACGGGGGATGGACAGATGGACACGGGACAGACACAGGGATGGACACGGGGCATGGACAGATGGACATGGGACAGAAAGATGGACATAGGACAGACAGATGGACACGGGACAGACACAGGGATGGACACGGGACGGATGGATGGACACGGGACAGACAGATGGACACGGGACAGACACAGGGACAGACACAGGGATGGACAAATGGACATGAAGGACAAATAGACATGGGACAGATGGACACGGGAGGGACACAGGGGTGGACATGGGATGGACAAATGGACACGGGACATGGACACAGGGACAGAGATGGGCCCCGAACCCCAGGATCCACCTGAGGGACCTTGGGATGGACACAACGTGGACAAATGGACACGGGGATGGACTCAATATGGACACGGGAGGGACAGGGATGGGGACAGGGACAGTCCACGGACACCTGGATCCACCTGAGGGACATCTGCAGGATGGACACGGGGTGGACTCAGGACACGGGACAGGGACACAGGACATGGACACAGGACAGGAACACAGGACATGGTCCCTGTCTGTGCCCTGGGAAGGCCCCATGGAGGCCCCACCATGTCCTGGAGCTCCCAGGATGGGCAGTGACCGGACAGAGCCATCGCCCCAGGGGTCACTTTGTCCCCAGGGGTCGCTTTTTGTCCCCAATAAAAGGCGCTGACCCCACACAGACCCTGAGTGCTCCTTCAGTGTCCAGGGATGGCCACCATGATGAGTGTGGCGGCAGCCATGACAGGTGTTGTGGCCGCCATGATGAGTGTGGCGATCGCCATGACGGGTGTTGTGGCCGCCATCATGGTTGTGGCATGTTGAGAGTGGCCACTTCACCGTCGGGCCAGGCGGTGTCTCCCGGACTAACCGGACCCGTCCTCACCCCACGGGTCGGTCCCGGCCGATCCGGACCCGCCACAACCCCGGTAACGGCGCCTGAAGCGCCACGAGCGCGGCCCTGCCCACACTCAAGATGGCGCCGCCCCCTGAGAGCTGATAGGCGCCCACTGCGGCTTCACTGACGTCATTCTACTTCCGGCGCAGACCGGAAAAGGCGCGGCCGTGGCGGCCTGGAGCTCCCGGGGCTGGTGAGGCCGGGGGGGATTCGGGGACACCGGGAGGGATTCGGGGACACCGCGGAGGGATTTGGGGACACCGGGAGGGATTCGGGGACACCGCGGAGGGGCTGAGGGGCCGCCGGTGGCGGCGGTCGGGGCGGGGG